CAACCATGCAAGAGTTTTAGAATAAGTTTTGTGACAAGTCCCCCCTCCTCCTCCTCTTCGGAACCTAAACATTGAAGGGAAGGTTTAGAAATTTTTAAGTGTTAAAGGCAGTGCTTAGAATCCGGAGCCGTTGGAAAATATTCGGATCCACGGATCCGTATCCAAGGGGTAAAAAATCAACCAAAAACTGCAAAAAAATGTTTTACTCTCAAACCCTAATCTGAACTATTGAAAAAAGAGAGATTATAAAAATTTCCTGATTTTTGAATGGTTCATAAAATGTTAGCATGAAAATAAGCGATGATTGCATTTTATATTAAAAATTGGTTATTTTATAAATTCTGGGTCATCGTTAAAAGTGACTTGAGGATTTATATAACAGCAATAATGAAGGGGAATTTGTGAGAATTTAACCTTTTAAAACGTAGTTGTTTTCAGCTCATTTTTAACATGAACAGTGTTTAATTTTGATAACGTTCTAGATATATTTTGATAAATGTAAATTGTGATTGTGTAAGATTAAATTAAGGCATTATGATTGAATATTTCGACCTGCTCGTTCCCGGAAAACTTAAATTAAGGGATCAAACACTTGTTCCATTAATTTAAAAGTTGTCACAGTGGATATCAAGATCTCGCGTTGTAATTTAGTGTTAGTTCACAGAAAAGTTTTGACTTCTTAGCACCAGAATATTACCTAGTAGAAGTAAACTCTCTTCTAACTGCTCCATATCGAACTCAAGCAGACCAAAAGCCTCCCTAGACACAAAATAATTAAAATACGTTAAGTGGAACCCTTGAAACTGTGTTAAAGTGAGATGACTATTGGACTCAAATTATGGTTTTAATTTTTCCAATGCACATAAAACACAGCATTTGTGCAGTGTGCACAGACCCATTTCACCTAATAAGCTGATTTTTAAGCTACTGCAAATAAAAAGATTTCCTTTATAATAACATTAACTATACAAAGGATTGCGGTAATGTAGTCTCCCTCTTCCAGTCCTTTGGGTGTCTCTGTAATAAGAAATACTACTATAATTACTACTTTATAAATTAACAACTTTTTACCAAGTAAATCCCTTTCTTTTGTTTAACAATCCCATAATGTCGTCAATGACGAGAAGATCTGTAAAGCTTATGATTATAAAGGGCAAAAAATAAACATCGTACACCCATTACACCAAAAAAATGCCTCGAGACAACGAGTAAAATCCCCCAAAAATATTACGTTTCGTGGAAGTTGAAAGGAAATTAAAATGTGCTGATGTGAAGAATGTAGAAGGGCAGGAAATGAACAGATTAAAGAACTTAAAGGAAAATAAAATATACAAAAATGAAGTACAGGGAACAACTGGTAAGCACAGAGGACATGAAATAAGTGGAACAGGAAATAATGTTGGTGGAAGGCTTTTAAGAAAATGTAAGGAACATAAAGCAAGTGGAAGGGGCATCAATTAAGTGGAAAAGGGTAGATCGTTAGTGGAAAGGTCAATAAGAAAGGGACAGAACATAAAAAAAGTGGAAGGTACATAAATTAAATGGAAGGGACGTAAATTAAGTGGAAGGGATATAAATTAAGTGGAAGGGGCATACATTAAGTAGTGGCATAAATTTAGTGGAAGGGACATAAATTAAGTGGAAGGGACATAAATCTAAAGGAAGCGACATAAGTTAAGTGGAAAAGGACATAAAATATGTGGAAAAGGACATAACATAAGTCAAGTGGAGGGGTTGTCAAGAGGTTCAGTTCTAGAATAAGATGTTAGTTTATATTCCTTCTACACTATAATTATTACGTTATGTCCTTTCCACTTAATTTGTCTTTTCCACTTCCATAATGTTCTTCTACTTACCAAATATGGCCCTTCCTCTATAAAGTCATGTCCCCTACACTTGTTTAATGTCCACCTAACTGATTTTAATTAAAATCAATTAATTCTATGACCTTAAAACCCTTAAAATAGGTAATTTCCTAGAAAAGGTTTTATGGACCCCCGCCCCCCAACCCTCCAGTCAATTTTGTACACTACCTATATAAGCCATATTTAAACAAAATTAATATTTTTCAATATTGTTTCAGGTTTAGGTTTGCTTAACACAATTTCTGGGCTGAGCACTGCGGCCATGGGGCTGGGCGCTACGGCCCCATGACTTCAAATATGCCCTATAATGCTGCATATACAAAAATAATAGGTGGATGGGGGGGGGGGGNGCATACATATAAGCGGGTCGTGAACTAACCTAACCCGTGGCCGCAGCGCTCGGCCCCCTAGCTCATCCTAGCCGCAGCGCTTGGCCCAGAGAGTATCTTAACCTAACCTAACCCTAATTAACAAAAAAATAAATAATGATAAATTTGCTGAAAAATATATGGTCATGTACAAAATTAATAGGAGGGGGGGGGGCTCGGGGGGGGTCCAAAAATCGTTCACTAGGACAGACCCGGTCCCGGTCCAAAAAAACGTTCTCTAGGAATATACCAAAATCCATGTATAAATTAAAAGATGGGGGCATGGGGGGGGTCCAAAAACGTATATTAGTAAACTATTAATTCATGTTAAACATGAACTGCAATTCTTAATTATATTGAAACCTGAATAAGGAGCAAAAGTGAGCAATAGTTGGGATTTCAGGCCAAGTTTGTATATCTAATTCGGCCATTGTACTTCTAAAAACAGATTTCAAGTACATCTCAATCATTAACAGACAAATCGTCGAAAATTTCTGTAGGCTCGAAAACACATTTTATAAGTTTAACGTCTGCTAAATGATCTTATTTTCATGTAAATGAAAAAGTTTTCGTTGTTAAATCTGAAAATGTTTTGACAAATTGACATTGAATTGAATATATGCAGCGGCATTCTCTCATTTGGTTTGGAAATTAAAAGTTTGGTTGGTGTCGATACTATTTTTTAATCGCAGAATCGGTGACGTATAAAACCCGCCAGAATCAATTCAATATAGAGGATGTGAGACTCTGTTTAGTTTAGTATATATACGCTAGGTGTCTAACTATATCATATTATTTTATTAAATCAGTATTATGCACAAGCACAATCGATTATTTGTTCAAAACAAAATTTTAAATTTACTTTAAAATGTAGACTTTAAACTTATCAAATTTTTGGTAAT